TGGAATCCCACTGTTGGTATAGAAGTTTAGTTTGTGTCTGTGCATTTATCTGTGTTTGTGTACAGGTAGAGGCCTTTTGACAAGCTGATCACCCGCCCAAGGAGTCCTACCGAATGTGTAAGATCTAGGAAAATCGAAGTGAACAGAGGAGGTGATGGGGGTAGGCCTAGGCCCCCTGCTGCTGTAGTGGGAACAAAAAAGATGATGTAACATAAGGAAATGTGATGTAGTTGTTTTCATTTGTAACTGAATTTGATGACTTTCATATAGTGTTTGACTTGCATATTTGATTAATAGTGTTCTCTCTCTGTCTCTCTCTCTCTCATTTCAGGTAATCAGTATTTGTCATTCTTAAGTTTCTGTAATCTTCAAGATATATTTCTGTGAAGCAAGTGAATTTCTTCTCTTACAGGCCATATTCTGGAGATTAAGATATCGTGGGAAGTTGCTGATGATGGTAGCCCTGTGTCACCAGCAATAGAAATCAGCGGCAACGTGACAAGTCAGACCAAATGAGGAGGAAACATCAATGAAATGTGGTGAAGAGTATTGTTGAAAATTGTTCAGCTACTGGGTATGTTAGAGAGACATAATGGGTCCTGGTTTTGGTGGAAATGATACCACCACACCATACCACTATTTACAAGGTGACGTACATCAGGAATCCCTTGTGCGTGACTTATATTAGTAGTTATGTGCACGTGTTACTTGTTGAATTTTTGTTAACATATCTTAGTTATGTCAACGGTATGTTCCTTCAAGAGAGAGTCGCCTGATGAGTCTCAGATATCTGCATGTGCTTGCCTTAGTCTCGATGCCTGTGTGCATGTTTATTGTTCAGTATGTATTAACCTGCTTTTTTATTCTTCTTGTTTCCTGCCTGCCTCGGCCCACCTTCTGGCTGGTATTGTTCTTAACTAGAATGCGTGCCGCTTCCATTGGCATGAGGAAGAAGGAAAGACAGTATTGATTTAACATGAATTCTTTCATTTATGATGTGACGTGTAAGAAAATGTGATCATATTTTCTCAAGTTGTAATGGGAATTGAGACACTGTATAGTTGTTTGAATTACATATTTAACTTTAACTGTTCTCTGTAATAATTAAGATAATGAAGAATTTGTAATTATGATGTCCTAGTGGAGTTTCATCATATATTTCTAGGAAGTGAGATGTTGATTTTTTTTCTTCAGGTGAAATTTTGGAGAATTAGAAAACCTCCAAGGAGTTTGCTGCTGTGGGTGCTTTGCGACACCCTTTTATGAACTGAGTTGCAATGAAACAGATCTGGTAATGAACACGCAATAGCTTCAGTGATGTCTCGTGTTGTAGAGAATTGAGAGGAATGGATCTGGTGAAGTTGCATAGCAAAAGTGTGTGTTAATGACAATGGAAATGGGAACGCCACACAATACTATGAATTGTGAGTTAAGTTGTACAGCAGGAGAGTACTTTATAGGATTTATATTGGTTGTTCTCTGCTTTTAGACTTATTTTTCAGCTATTAAATTTTGGGTTTTTGATGCATGTGGTTGTTGTGAAGATGTGTTGTTTCTTCAAGGGATACTTGCCTGTGTGTTTCAGTCTGCGTGTTGCTTCTTCCTTGATCCTGCCTGATTGCCTTCCTACAATGCCATCCATACAGGTGGCATTATTCTTGCATTGTAAGCATGGGGCTTCCATTGGTCAAAGAATGTAAGAATGTTCACTCTTCCTTAGCATGAAATTTTTCACTTAGTAATGTAAGATAAGGACCGGCCATGGTAGCAAAGCGGTGTAAGGCATGAACTGTCTTCCCTCGCATGGAAACCGGAATTGTGGGTTGGAATCCCACTGATGGTATAGAAGTTTAGTTTGTGTTTGTGTACAGGTAGAGGCCTTTCGACGAGCTGATCACCCGCCCAAGGAGTCCTACCGAATGTGTAAGATCTAGGAAAATCGAAGTGAACGGATAAGATGATGTGGGTAGGTGTAGGCCCTCTGCGGTTGTAGTGGGAACGAAAAATATGATGTAAGATAAGTACATTAGATGTAGTTGATTTCATTTGTAACTATATTTGATGACTTTCATATAGTGTTTTACTTGCATTTTTGATTAACTGTGTTCTCTCTCTCTCTCTTAGTTCAGGTAGTCAATATTTTTCTTTCTTGACTTTCCATTGAGCTTCAAGCTATATTTCTGTGAAACAAGTCAATTTCTTGTCCTACACACCTTATTCTGAGACTAAGATATCATGGGAAGTTGCTGATATTGGTAGCCCAGTGTTACCAGCAATTGAAGTCAGCGGCAATGTGACTTGTCAGACTGAATGAGGAGGGAAACATCAATGAAAAGTGGTGAAGAGTGTTGTTGAGAGTTGATCAGCTTCTGGGTATGTTACGGGGACATAATGGTTCCTGGTGTCGGTGGAAATGATACCGCCACACCATACCACCATTTACAAGTTGACGTGCATCAGGAATCCCTTCTGCGTGAGTTATCTTAGTAGTTATGTGCACGTGTTACTTGTTGAATTTTTGTTAACATATCTTAGTTATGTCAATGGTATGTTCCTTCAAGCGAGAGTCGCCTGATGAGTCTCAGATATCTGCATGTGCTTGCCTTAGTCTCGATGCCTGTCTGCATGGTTATGTTCAGTATGTATTAACCTGCTTTTTTATTATTCTTGTTTTTTTCCTGCCTCAGCCCACCTTCTAGCCTCATTTTTCTTAACTAGAATGCATGCAGCTTCCATTGGCATGAGGAAGAAGGAAGGACACAGTATTGACTTAACATGAATTCTTTCAGTTATGACGTGACATAAAAGAAAATGTGATCATATTGTCTCAAGTTGTAATGGGAATTGAGACACCATACATTTGTTGGAGTTACATATTTAACTTTAACTGTTCTCTGTTATAATTAAGATAATGAAGACTTTGTAATTATGATGTCCTAGTGGAGTTTCATCATATATTTCTAGGAAGTGAAATGTTGATTTTTTTTCTTCAGGTAAAATTTTGGAGAATTAGAAAACCTCCAAGGAGTTTGCTGCTGTGGGTGCTTTGCGACTCCTTTTATGAACTGAGATGCAATGAAACAGATCTGGCAATGAACACGCAATAGCTTCAGTGATGTCTCGTGTTATAGAGATTTGAGAGGAATGGATCTAGTACTGGTGAAGTTGCATAGCAAAAGTGTGTCTTAATGACAGTGGAAATGGGAACGCCACACAATACCATGAATTGTGAGTAAAGTTGTACAGCAGGAGAGTACTTTATAGGAGTTATATTGGTTGTTCTCTGCTTTTAGACTTATTTTTCAACTATTAAATTTTTTGTTTTATGATGCATGTCTTTGTTTTGAAGATGGGTTGTTTCTTCAAGGGATACTTGCCTGTGTGTTTCAGTCTGTGTGTTGCTTCTTCCTTGATCCTACCTGATTGCCTTCCTACATTGCCATCCATACAGGTGGCATTATTCTTGCATTGTAAGCATGGGGCTTCCATTGGTCAAAGGAAGTAAAAATGTTCACGATTCCTTTAGCATGAAATTTTTCACTTAGTAATTTAAGATAAGGGCCAGCCACAGTAGGGTTGGTATCCCACTCAGGGCATGGATGTTTCGTTTGTGTCTGAGCACATATCTGTGTTTGTGTACAGGTAGTTTCCTTTTGACGAGCTGATCACCCGCCAGAGTAGTCCTACTGAATCTGTAATATCTAGAAAGACCAAAGTGATCTGAGATAATTGATGGAGATAGGCCTAGGCCCACTGCTGCTCTAGTGGGAACGAAAAAGAAGATGTAAGATAAGTAAATGTGATGTAGTTGATTTCATTTGTAATTGAATTTGATGACTTTTATACACGTATTTCAATTTTGAATCAGGGTTTAGATTTTTGTGATTTTTGTTTAGATTTTCTACTGTCTTCGCAATGTTATTACCCCCATTTTCATCGGAGCTACTGTCACTTTTACCTTCTTTGGCCACAATTCTTTGTTCCCCCCTGTCACTGCTGCTCTCTCAATCACCATAACTAAGCATCTCACAAAGCAGGTCAGCTGGCTCATCGGAGAAAAATTTGTCCTTGTCCACAACTCACCACTAGAATAGAAGAATAGAATATATGAGTGGTGAGTCTTCTCAGCCCTTGCACCATGACCTTAGGTCTATTGTGCTTCCCCTTTTTTAATTATTCCCTCAGCAACCCCATGCTTTGGATGAAGCGCAGGATCTTGAACATGTGGGCATCAAAATAGTCACTTGGTTCCATGAAGTACTGGCCCAAGTGACGCAATCTTAAATAAGCTAATGCCTCACATTCACACAGGACGTGTGTGGCTGTTTCATCTTCTATCTGACACCTCTCACAGGTGGGACTATCACTCAGTCCCAATTTGAACAGGTGTCCTTTGAGGTGACAGTGTCCTGTAAGTAGTCCTACCACCCATCATAGCTGGTTCCTGTTTAGCTTCAACAGTTCCTTCGCTCTTTTAGCAGAAGGTCCTCGTGTGAGTCCCTTTGCTTGCCTGAGTCCAGTTAAGGATTCCCAGTATTCCTTGTGTTTCATGTTAGTCCAGTCCCTGATTGCCTGTTTGGCAACTCCTAGAGAGATGCCATAGGCTGGTTCAGGTCCTATGAACGGGTGTTCAGCTCCAATTTTAGCTAATTGGTCTCCTGCTTCATTTCCAGCAATACCCTCATGCCCCGGCACCCATGTCAGTTGTACCCTGTTATATTTGGCCAGTTCCATGAGGGTTTGGTGGCAATCCAAGACCAATTTTGAATTAATCTGGTGTTTGTCAAGCGCTTTAAATGCAGCTTTGCTGTCAGATAGAATGTAGATGTTCCTATTTATATAGTTCCTATCTAAATTCTCCATAATACATGCTTAATGGCATATACTTCTGCCTGGAATACTCTTGTGTACCGCCCAAGGCGGAAACTAAGTTTGTGTGGCAGTACACACCAGCTCCAGTGCCCTTATTGATCTTGGAACCATCTGTATACCAGATCAGTCCCCCTTTTCTGTCGGGCCGAAACCCATTTTCCCATTCACTCCTGTCAGGAAATCTGACTGTGAAGGGTTTTTCATATACATGTCTCAGTATCATTTTGTCAGACCCCATTTGCAATATGGGTTCTTTTTTTCATGTCCTGAGTCATGTCTGCATGACCGAAACCATCAGGTCTAGTTTTCCATTGTCCACTGCACTGGAGACGGTAAATTCCTGCCTTGGCCTCCGCATCCAACTGTATATGCAGTGGTGGGAGTCCAAGAAGTATCTCCAGTGCAGCTGTTGGAGATGTTCGAAATGCTCCTCTTATACCTAAGCAAGCCAACCTTTGCAATTTGCCAAGTTCTGTCTTGCTAGTCTTGAATTTAACTCTGGGCCACCATACTGTGGCACCGTAAGTAATTATGGGTCTCACAACTGCAGTATATACCCAATGTACAACGTGTGGCTGTAGTCCCCAAGTTTTACCAAACATGACCCTGCATGTCCATAAAGCCTTATAGGCTTTGTTAATAACTTTGTCCAGCTGCTTTCTCCATGTCAGTCCCTTGTCTAATACTAGTCCAAGGTACTTGACATCGCTGGAGAGCTGGATTGTCTTATTGAAGGGAGTCGGTTCCTTAAGACCCTTTATATTTCTCTTCCTAGTAAACGGTATAACTACCATCTTGTTGGGATTGATGGAAAGACCTGTTCTTTCACACCATTGTTGAACCATGTACATAGCTGACTGAAGACGCTCTCCAGTAGCATATCCTACTGTATGATACCCATCATCATTAAGTCCTCACAGGAGATCGTCGACGACCAGACTCCACAGCAGAGGCGAGAGTACGCCCCCCTGCGGACATCCCCTAGCCACGGACGCCCCCAGGGTCTCTCCCGATAATGTAGCAGCTATGGTTCTGCTTTCCAGCATAGCATTGATCCATCTGCATATTGCAGGCTCTATGCCATGCCTTCCAGCAGCCTGTTTGATTACATCAAATGAAGTTCTATCAATAGCTCCCTCTATATCAAGGAATGCTCCTAAGGCAATATCCTTGTGTTCAATTGCACTTTCTATGCGTGTTACCACATTGTGTAGTGCACTTTTGGTAGATTTACCTGTTTGGTAGGCATGTTGGTTTCGGTGTAAAGGATGTGTCCTCAATGCCCCATCCCTGATATGCCTATCTACTAGTTTCTCCATCGTTTTCAAAAGGAAAGATGATAGGCTGATAGGACGATAAGCCTTAGCCTCGGTATAATCAAGTTTCCCAGGCTTTGGAATAAACATCACCTTAACTTGCCTCCAGGCTGTGGGGATGAAAGCATATGCCAAGCAGGCTCTATATATGTGGCATAGGTGTGGAACTAAAAGTTCTGCCCCATGCTGCAAAAGTGCAGGTACAATTCCATCTGTTCCTGCTGATTTAAAAGTGTTCAGAGCCCATCTTATCTTTGATTGGTTAATTATGACTTTGACCAGGTTCC